AAAAAAAAAAAAAAAAAGGAAAACTAGAATGAGAAAAGGAGACGGAGTGATAGAGAAAAGTCGAGAACAGAAAGTGAGAAAGAAACAAAGAAGTTAGAATTGTACCGTTTCTCCTTGGGTTTGCGCATCAAATGGCTTACTCTTTGAAAGTTCTACATCGTTTAAAAGCGACCGTCAAGAATTCCATTTAACGAGAAAAATCGTTTCCGCGCGAGCGTACGCTCGAGATTTCTGCAAAGTCACACCGTTCGAAATGAAAAACAAAGAAAAAAAGAGAAAAAGAAAAGAAACAAATGCAAAGTTCGTCGTCGGTTGACGTGTTTCGAAAAGAAAGACAGATATACACATGTGTATATGTGTAAATGAATCTCGTGTCGGCGAATCGCATATTGTAAAGTGTCTCTAACGCGCGATTTAAGGCTCCCGTTGCAAAAGTGTATTTTCAATATTACCGCTGAAATATACGCTCGTGCAATGTTTGTTTAAAACGACGATCGCACAAGAAACATCTATCCCTCAAAGAACTGTCACTCTGGGATCGCTATACTGACGGGTCTACGGGTGAATAATATTGTCGCTCTTTACGTGCTACCATACAGACACATGCGGCAGAAAATAGTCTAGGCATTCTTTTCGCGATACACCCTACATCGTTATTCAAAAGGAACTTCGATTGAACTTTATTACACGTTTCTTTCTTTCTTTCTTTCTTTCATTCGTTCGTTTCTTTTCTTCATTTCTTTCTTTCTTTTTGTCTTTCTCTGTATGCGTATATGCGCGTGTACGTGTGTGTGTGTATATATGTATGTATGCGTGTGACTGTGTCGTTCTTTTCCCTTTTTCTCGTCTTTCATCTCGTTTGTTCCTTGCTGCTTGAAGGCCAAACGTACGATGATCTCGACAATGGCTATACCGACTTTGGATTTTCAAAGCGAACCAATTTTGAAGTAACGAAGAACCGTATATCGCTAGGTACTAATTCTTTTTTTTTTTTTTTTTTTTTNTTTTTTTTAAGAAGGAATCGTTCTCTAGTTTCGACGCACTCTGTTCGTTTTTTTCTTCCTCTTTTTTTTTTATCTGGAAAATATACGCGCGGCAGGCGGTTGCTTCCGTGCAACGGGGAAGGGATAGAATCGAGCCGGGATCCGAAGGCAGGACCACCGGAACGCAACAAGTCCTCGCGCTTCGCAAGTTCCTCTGTCCCGTCGAATAATAAAGCCGGCTCCGCTCTTAAATGCTATCCCTCGCTAGAACCCTCGCTCTGGAACGTCTTTTTCTCTCATTTTCCTGGTTTACTCGCGGCAGTTTCGCCTGTGGTTGTCGACGCGACTTCCAACCTATGCCACGATGACGACGACGACGACGACGACCGTCGTACACGCGAGATTGTCTAAAGCTACGTTTTTTTTTTTCTTTTTTCTTTTTTCTTTTCGCTGGCGTGGGCTGGCGTGCCTGGAGAGTCAACGAACGGGCCAAGGCTGCGACGACGACGTCACGACGACGAATAATTATCAACGCCTCCCCACCTTCCTTCCGTTTTCCTCCCTTCTTCTTCTTCTTCTACTTTAAATGAAAATTCGTGAGGAAACGAGTAAACACATTCGAATAGAATCTGCGAGGGCACAGCTCGGATCTGTAGTTAGCGCTTGGTGCACGGGGATTCGCCGGTTGCAGATAAGGCCTGAATAGTTAGGGTTTGCTGTTGTCGTTGTTCAACGACAACGGATCGGTGATCTTCTGCTGTTGTTGCTGCTGCTGCTGCTGCTGCGTCACCTCGCTCACTGCACCGCCGCTCATCAGCTTCGCGTTGTTGTTCTCCGTGTTCGATACTTTCGCGTATTCCCGTTTGCGTGGCATGTTCTCTGTCTTCACGATCGTGATGTCCGGGTTGTTCTCCAACACGGAGGTGGCTGGCTTTGGGACGGGCGTGGGCACCTCGATGTAACCGCCGCCTTCTCTTTTGATGGGCGTCGAGGTTGTCGGTGTAGCTGTGGTGGCCGCGTTCGCGTTGATTTTCTGCAGTATGTCGTTCACCGACTCGTTGTTCTCCGGTGTCTCGTTGTTACCATCGATGGCACCGGACGCCACGCTCAGGTCACCGGCCAGCGAAATTCTGTCCGGGCCCTGCAGCGTCGACAGATAGGTGGCCAACGTGTGGACGGTCACGTTCAGGAACTCAGCTGCACGGAACAACGTGATTTCTTTCCTTCGTAGCTTGGCCAACACCTCCGCCGGGCCTGGCTCTGACCAAAAATCCCTTACTCTGTAAGACAGATTTGAAATGTTAACATTCTCTACGTAATTCTAGGATGACTAAGAGAAAACGATATTCCTCGAATAGAATAGAAAATTTAATTTGGAAAAATATCGTAGAACTACTCGTGTCTTAATTTGTAAACGAATTTAATGAATACAGTTTTATAAAGTTAATAAATTTTTGCAGCCGATAATATGACAAACGAAAGTGAATTCTGTAGTTTTTTTTTTTCTTTTTTTTACATCTTCCTAGGGATAAAATATTTGAAAAGAAAACGGGAGAAGAAGAAAAAGCGTAGTTGAAACATGGCAACGTAAAAACGAAGCCGAACGAAAGCGGGTTAATACACGATTTCACTTGGCATCACGTATTTCTCAAATTTATTCCCAAGAAAAATTTCTAATCAACTGTCAATATACACCGCTAGATCGTGGTGTATATATGTGAAGCGAGTGAAAAAAGGAAAAGAGGAAAAAAAAAAAAAAAGGAAAAAAAAGCAAATGCAACATTTGAAGATGGGATTTCCTATAATCATCGAGCGCCTGCGCTTCAGACGCATGCGCATCTGACGCATGCGTACATAAACGTATTTATACAGTGGAAAAGGCCCGCCTGATACAAATGCAACTCGATTTGAAAATCGCGTGTAAAAAAGAAAACAAATAATGTTTCATCCAGGAAAAAATCTCACGTTAAGATATTGATGCTTATAAGAAATCTTGCCTTTGGAGCCACACGAAGCGATAGTAAATCTCTCGACTATATAAGATGAGCATGGATCTATATAAGGTGAGCAAGGATTCCTAATCCTTTGAGTGTTTAATCTAAAAATAGATTAAAGATGATACTAGAGTACCGTACAGATAATGAAATAATTCAAGAAGTTTAAAAAGAATAAGATATAACAATACATTAAATATATATAATATATATTTAAGGACGAGTATATTGTTGATTTGTTATATGTTCCTCATTTTTAGACTTTTAGCAATGTCAATAAACACCACCTTTGCGTGCGTTTTGATTCTTCATTTAATACATCTTGCGTACACGTTTAAAATTGCGAGTCTCTAGTCTAAAACATGATACACAGCACGACACGGTCGTAAAACAGAGGAGAAGGCAATAAGTAGTAACCAGTCGCGGCAAAGGCAATCAAAAAGCGACAATCGTCGTGTCGTCGGTTGCAAGTCTGTTTCTATTACCTATACGGATGTTTAAGGCAACCATAACTGTCGCGATATCTGCCATAGAGTGTTCCGTAAGACACGCCAAGTATCTCAGCGGCGGTCTTCATTTCCAGTTCTTTGCTCTTAATGGCGTCCATAACGCGTCGCGTGAACGGCTCCTCCCAGAACTCTTGGCGGCGTCCCGTCGTCAGGTAATCGTTCATCTTCACGACGTCTCGGAATTGTTCAGGGATCGATGGATTCGTGGCGTTGGAATTCGAGGGTGTGGTAGGCGCTGCGGCAAAATCAAATCGCATTTAGATTCCTCGTGCCTGGCGAAACAACAGGTCGTACAGTGTATAAAATAATCAATCCACAGTTGAACAAAATGATGTGTGATCCTGTTACATTTATCAATTGACATACCCAGAGTCAAATAAGACGACATATTGTTTGAACAATCATTTTGTCAATTAATTTAAATAAAAAAGAAAAGACCCATTTCAGGCAACGTAAGTTCAAAAATCTCGCAACAGCCACCAAACGATTTTGCCCAGCTGAATTTTAATGAATTTACATATTTGTGGATTATAGAGAATGAATTTTGTGCAGCCACTTGTGCACGAGAGAAAGAAAAGAATCGAGTACGTCTGTTATCATCCATAGTAGCTACAAGAGAGCCTAATAGACGACTAGAATTTTGTTCGATCGACCAAGTCACGTACCTTTCTTTTCCTGGTCGGATGCGCTGTCATCCTTCGACATGTACGATAGCTGCAAAGTACGACGATACACAGTGCTTGTTAAAATATCATCGTAGGGCGTTTTAACCGAAGCGATCGTAGATGGAAGCAAAGAGGAAAGAAGTTGTTTCTTACCATCGGCAGTGGCGTTTCGTTATTTTCGTTCATCATCATCTCGTCGTCCCAACTCTCGTGGTCACCGCCCTCGCTCATCATTTCCTCCTGGGAAATCGACAATATTTGAGATACACGCGTCAAATAGTGGAGACCCGCGCCTCGTACAACTGTCGATTGCGATCGATGAGACGGAAGGATTAATGTATGACTCGATCTTTTTACAATATATATTGGTTTCACTTGAAGCATGCGTTGAACGTGTTATGTATATTGTTCGTTAATTCTCAACTGCTGAGACGAGTATGTATTTAATATTTTTCTCGTCAAGATGTTGACGAAAACGAAATATAACAAAATTAAATATATATAATACAAATTTTTACGTTAGTTTTAATATTTATATAAAATAATAAAATATAAAAAAGGAAAGATGTGTATTTATAAAATAGAGGAAGATATCTGAAGAGGCACAAGCGAGGAGGGCAACTTGACGTACATTTCCAGTAATACATGTGATCTTCGGTGTGAAAACGTCGTGGGCCGAGGGTGGATCGTCCAGAGGCGGACGCCCTCTGCGTCTTTGCTTCGGCGGTGGCGGCTCGTCGGCATCGCCTTCCCTAAGGACCGTCTCGACACCTGGAGTCGCCGCACCGGGACTGTGACCGCTGTTTCCTAGATCATTTTGCGTGGAATCGCTACGCCAGCTCACCTCGGCCAGCCCCTTGATATGCAAATCCTCCGCGGTTTTCAACAGGGACGACAATCTCGTCTGAAACATCCACGCATCACGATTTTTAATCAACCTGGAAAACAGAAACGAACCTTTCAAAAGACACGCTGGCCGTATATTTTTCTCTCCTTTGACGGAGCGAACTAAGCTGCTCTTTGTCGTTTAACCCTTTCAGACGTTGCCGGGCGTCGGGGGTTTCTCGTCTTTGATTTCGAGTTCCAGCTCGTGGAATCTCCAATCAACGTTTCAACACCTTAACTGCCGAATAACATTGAACAGATTGTCTCCAAAGGTGGTGGTACTGCTCTTTTTTTTTTTTTTTTTTTTTTTTTTTTTATAAGTTAATCGAATAATCGTTTAGCGAGAAATAGGACATTACATTTTGTATCGTTGACGTACAGCGTGCATACGTGCGAAACATATTTCGAAACGTTGAAAAACTTTCTGGATTTCTCTACCGAGACCACTCGGTCTTCTATCGAGCCGAGGACTTCAGAAATTTCAAGGCTCCGGATTAATCAAGACTTTCGAGACTCGGGATCAACGAAAAACTTTCGAGTACTTAAACGATCTCTCTCGGTAAACTCTCGGAAGATATTCAAGATTCTCCTAAAATCTGCCACTTTCAGAAACGCCCTTATACAAATATGGGCGAAATAAAGAGAATCGAAATTCGCGTAGAAGAAGAAAGGTAGATGTACATAGATAGATACTCTCCCCCCGACTAATCAAGGTAAGTAGAGTTGCCTCTCGTTTCGGTCGACATTAAGCCCGAGTGGTTTAACCATTCCTGGCAAGAGTTACGGGCCAAGCCGGCGAGCAATATTTTTAACCGATCCGCTTTCAATATTTCCACCGTGGTGCCAGGCAACGAGCATAAATGGTATAATATACGAAACACGTCGTTTTCTTTTTCTGGCACGAGTTTGCCCCCCATATTCTCGTCTTCTCGCGCGAGAAACTCTCGTACGTATCCAGCGACAGAGGGTCCATATATGCGGGGGAAAAAATCGAATAAGAAAGCTCGCGAAGCTAAGTAAATCTAATTACCTCTGTACCGTTCTCGTTTTGGAAAGAGTTCTGGGAAGGGTAGGGAAAGCGATCGCGAGGGAAAAAAATTAGTAATTCCATTAATTCCGGGGCCGGTTTTAATTTCCTCGGCCGGGCAGCACGAATCTGTTCGATCAAAAACTGGGATTCGAGGCAGCGAATAATGAATCGGATTGTCGGGGCTACATGTGACAGGGGGGGAGGGAAAAATCCGATATTCGATCTTGGCTTACTCGATTGAGATTCGAATTCTTGGATACTCGGTCAATATAGATCTGAATATTTGAATGTATAATGTAATGTATCCGAGTATACGCGAGTTTTTATGGATTTAAGAAGAGAAATTGTCGAGGATACAGAAATGCGCGCAGCGCACGAGAGAAGATACATTGTGCTGAATAATAATTGAACACTGAGCGTAATTTTATCGAAAGATTAATATTTTTCCTTTATTTCCACAGTTGCGACGGACGACGAACTCTTTTTCTCTCTGCTCTTAATTCTCCACATTGTATTACAGCTGTCAAATGCTCTGTCAAATTTCATTCGAAACAAGGGATACATGTGAAATTTCGTAGTCATTTTCAATGAACACTTCGTGAAATTTGCGTAAGTGTGATTAATCCTATTGATCCATCTCAACATTGAACAGACATGCATACTTAAACTGGCGTGCCTGTGCAAAATTAAATTAATTCTCAGCCACCTTCGATTATTGCCATTTTATTTCTGCTAATTGACATTAGCCAGCCTATTTACTCTGCGCGTTATAATTAAATTCAATTAAAAAGATTCCTTTGAATCGTATTTTATACACTCGTGATAATTTGCACGTTAAGAGCCGTTTAACGCAAGAGCGAATGTAGATACAAAAAAAGGAAAAGAGGAAAAAGAAAAAAAGAAAAGAAAAAGAGAAATAATAACGAGGGATGAAGTGAAAATTTCGTAAAATATGATAATATTTACAAAGAAGCTACGTACTCTTTTGTACGAACCCATTGCAAAGCTACATTTTTACGCTTCTGCACGAAACAGAATGGAGATTAAATTTTCAAAGTGTGGTGTTACGCTAAACAAATTGCAAAAAAAAAAAAGAAAAAAGGAAAAAAAGAAATCGGCTTGCACCACCTTCGCGTTAAAACAGCTCATGAAATGCGTTTCAAAGTATTTCCCCGTAACGTTTCCGGCAATTTCCATTTTCTCAATTGCGTTTCTCAATCTACTCGAGAAATTTTTCCCTTCTATAGTCAATATCGGCCGAAGGGACATTCTTCCGTGCGTATGTGCTGTTGCACCGCTGTGCCGGAGATAAAACACGCCGGTGTCACTCGGACGAGAATCGGATTCAGGTTGAGGAAAGAGGATATATACCCGAGAGCAGAGAACGGCCAGTAACTTGAAATTCCCCGTGTTCTTCCGTGTTTCTAGTCGTGATCAGGCACAGTCGCGAGAGTGCTTTCTCCATCGTCGCCGCCTGCGAAAAATCCGGCTCCGGTGAAAATCTGCACGCCGACGTCTCGAACCGCGGGGGCCGCATCGATTCGTTCGGACTCGTGCGCTCGGTATAAAAAGAGCTTTCGAGCACTCGATCGGATTTGCGCGCGATGGTCGCGGCGAGGTGGGTGGACAGGGGGGAGGGGGGAGGGGGGGGAGAGACGTACACGTGGTTTTTCAGTAGCACGCGAGCTGAAACGAAAGCGGGGAAACACAAGCCGCCTATGGTGGGTGACGGTCGTTTCTGAAATACACATTATTCGCTGCCCCGGAGACGCTGACCTACATAAGCATTTTTCCAATTCCGTTCGTGGCTGATAGAAAGCCACGCGGAGAACCGTTTGTGTAGAAAGTTCTCATATTATTTAGCGTTCCCTCGTTCGAATTCTCTCGGCTCGCAGCTGGTCGTTCGCGAAAATTCGACGAACGACGAGCCAGTTCGCAGCTAATTCGAAGGATTTTCTCTTTCAAGTTTTGCCGCAAAAAAAAAAAAAAAAAAAAAAAAAAAAGAACGCCAAGTCGGAGCTTCAGTTTTCTAAAAGTTTGAAATAAATTTGCTTTTCTGACAGAAGTCAGGCCTGTCATTTGCCAGTTTCGATCGTGGAACCGATTGGTTTCAGAAGCTAATTGCACAGCGTGTGGATGCAATTGCACGTAAATCGTTCACGTCAATCTCGTTCCCTTGCTCTTCTTCGTCTCCTTAAATCTTTCTTATTAATACGTTCACTGTCACGGTGTTTCCATTTGACAACCACCATGCGCTGGCAACCGATTGCGGACCGTAACGAGTGACCGAGCCGTATACAATAATTCGCCGCTTTCTTTTTGGAACTCGGTCGGTATGATATATCACTGGATAGAAATTATCGAGAAGTAATAAATTTATTACTTGTTTCGCCTGGGTTTATATTTCGATATACTTGAAACTATTGAGAAAATATTGCAGTATTGACTAGATAATTCTTGAAAAAAAAAAAAAAAGAAAGAAAGAACGCACTGCTGCTCCACTATGAAAATTAGATGCTACCTGCCCATAGGCGAATCACGTTAAAACGAACGAACACTGAAACTCAATAATTTGCGTCACAACTCTATAAAGCCAACTCGTAGATAATTAAAACAACGCGACGCAACGTATGCAGGCGTGTCAAAGTAGAAGAGAGTATGCCAATGCACATGCACACACGTGCTTATTGGCTCTATACCATGGCTAGTTATATCGTTCTTTTTTTTTTTTTTTTTTTCCTAGGAAGGAAATAAACGATTGTTAACCAATGCCGTTTTCCTGTTTCTTGTCAAGCTCGTCGGAGCTTGAGCACACGCTGGCGAACCCAATGCTCCGCCACACAACCACCGTTGAGACAGAATCCAAACCACTGAAAGGCAAAAAAACTTACTCGGATCGTTAATTAGGCGTAGCGTCGTAATGAGACTATCGATTCGATTTTCATCGGCGACGGTTCCCACCACGACGACAAAAGTGGAAGGGCGCCTCTTCGCTTTTGTTCGATTAGCCCGCGAATGGAAGAAGACGAGAGGAAGCGAGAGAAAGAGGAGAACGATTGACCGTGGCTGCTCCCGGTTGCAAAACAAATTGCATCGTCGCCGAAGCGATTTTTGCTGCTGAGATTAATGGGAAGTTCGGGTTGCTTTGAAGCGGCGGCACGCTTCCGAACCTCGAACGGCAAAGAGTCTTCAATTATTAATAAATTGAGGCCAGCAGCCGCGTTCTTTCCCCTCCCGCGACATTTTTCCCTCCGTCAGCGGGACACAAGTGCCCCTCGTAAATGTCCACGATGTAAATAAGTCGCTGAAAAGAGACTCCAAAGAGTCTACGGGTTTTTCCACCGTGGGCCTTTATTTCTTTCAGTTTTAATCAGTTTTCAGTTCGTCGAATTGTCAACGTTTCGTCGACAGTGGTTTGGTACATATTGATAGTAAATTTAGAGACGGTCGTACATTTATAGTTACGAAATTCAGCAAATATAACCTACGAAATTCGTTTCTATTTCGTGGGGCAAAAAAATTTCGAAACGGCCTCACAAATTAGCTCAACCGACAGATGTGGGGTTTTTTTTTTTCTTCTTACATTCTAATTGGAGAGAATTAACGGAGAATGTCGGACGGGACGTGGAATTGGATAGGCGAGAGGTTCTTAAATTACTCACGTGATCAATGTTGATCTCTCCCTTGTACATAAACTCGACCAGCACTTTGATGTCTGAGAATTTAACGTCCCGCATTATAACGATGGGGTCTTTCTCCTCGTACTGGGACAGGATCGTGTCGAAATACGTGCTGCATGCTGATAGAACCACCTGCGAAAACAAAAAGCGAAAGGGCGCGTTAATGAAGGGACCTGGAACGATCCGTCGAAAGTTTCGACGCTTGCAAATCAACCATTAAAGGCCGGGGCAAAACCGGTTACGCGCGCGGGAAGGGAAACGTGACCGACAAACGCGTCCTTGACAAATATTTGAGTTCAATGGACAAGAGGATATCAAGAATCAAGGAAATTAAGGTCCGCAACGAAAGTTAATTCGTAGGTCCGGGGGGGCAAGGGCACGCGACGCCATGTCGCTCTTCATTAATTACCCCGAAAAATCGCCGCGCCTCTGTTATTCCACGAATTCGCAGATGCACGGCTCGCATGCACAGGGACGTATTCACACGTACAAAGATAAGTGGATCTTGCATTTCTGTGTTTTTACAGGGAATTGTACAGGTAAACAAATTGTATATTTTATTTTTTAACAACGAGAAGATATTCCAAGGATTCTGCACAGTTTTCCTAGAAACTTGAAGAACGAGAAATTGAACGAGTAAATTAATACAGTTATTAATTAAAGTTGCGATAATCGTTGAAGATTTTAATCCCCAATTATCCCTGATACTGTATAAATTTGTTATTGCAAACTCTCGCGAGCGGAGCAAATTTACATGTAATAAACGTAATACGTAATACATAAAATTCCGAGTGAATTAATGCTTTCCTTAATACTCCAAAGATTAGAATAATTGTCACGTCTCGCTGGAAAGCCAGCGGGCTTTCTTAATGCTTACTTAAATACTACGAACGAGCGATATTTAAACTCGGATTTACACAGTATTATAACAAGATGTACAACTTGTTAGAAAATCATCTTGTTGTCGTATATATATATAGAGAAGTCTCGCCTGTGTACTCGCGTATTTATAGCGTTGGACAAGTTGTACTAACAAGTTATAAAAGCATGTTGCTACGGCTTAAGACACGCGGCCGGCACGAACGTGCGACGACAGCAACGAACAGATCACGGCGATGATCAAATTCTTACGCGGCACTTCCGAACATTGTCGATAAAATATGTATTTCCGCTTCGACGCCCGAGAGCCCCAGCTATCCGTGTGCAGAGATCTGTCATGAAAGTCAATGAAGCACTCGACGAACGAGAGATGCTGTCTCTCTCGTTCTTTCTCCCTCGCCGCTGTGATTCATTTTTCTTATCGCGGGAGCCTGTTACACGCTCGTCGGAATCTGTAGATTAAAAAATGAAAAGTCTCCGTTCGACCTAACTTAAAAATGAAAATTCGAGTTGGAGAAACGTAGAGACGCGACAGAATCCGATTCGATCAAGACTGAAGCCGATCGAACGGAACCGCGAACCGACGCCGATTTCCCGCAATCGCGGTGAAAACAGCGACAGGTGAATCGTGGCGGCTGCAGCGAACTGGAGCGATCTTAATAGACGAAACCGAGTCGAAAGGGAACCGTGTTAAATTGAATCGAATCGATACGGAGGAAAGCGCTCGAGAAACCTGAAACACCGATGGATTTAGGTCAGATCACGGTTTAGACGCGGAACTAACCCTGCCCAATTCGGTTCAAGATCGATTTCCCCTGCCCCAGGCCCAGTGTGGAACTGGCTTAAAGGACGAGCTCCAAGAACGGCGTCACGCGCGCCTACGTATTTAACACCGTCGAACAACCGGTATTTCCGTCAATCCTGATTTTATTTTGCTGACACGTCGTTTATAAATAACACGTCCACCGATGCTCCCGGTCGGTTATCCTGTTTACTGGCTCGATCGTAATATCCCTCTTCCCCCTCCCCCAATCCTGATGTTGCTCCTTTGCTACTTTTTACGTTGATCTGGTTATCGCGAAGTGGAGAAGATATAATCTCGCAAGCGACACGCACCCCGCTTGAAAAATTCATTTGCCAGTTTCAATTTAAAAAAATCCCAAGCCGTCCGCGTTTTTCGTTTGAACGGCAACGTAACGAATGGGGGCGCTTAGTTCCGAAAGATATCGATATGTATATGTGTGAGAGTATATGAGTCGATATATATATATATACATACATCTCGGCCATTATGTGGAATATAAATTGTTTTCAATCTGCGGGAAATTTATTGCACTCGCTGCCGTTCATTAGCTTGTTTGTTGTCCGAGATTAAACCGAGTATATATATATATATATATATATATATATATATATATATATATATATATATATATATATATGTATGTGCGTGTCGTTTTCCATTTTGTGACGATGTAAATCGGAGCCGAGGTTAGGTTAGACTTGTCAGCTATCGTTCGACACTTCCGCAGCTATCGCGCCGCCCCCCTCCATCGCGAGTTCTCCCGCGGATGTTGAGGAATCGACGCCCTTTCGATTTTTAGGGTTCCGAAGGGACGTATATACGTATTTGGATGCAACAAGTCGCGGATATCATCTTTGTAACTTCTTTCAAACGCGAGGGCTCGTACGAAAACTTGATTCGACACTCTGATACCTTCTAACTGACAAACCCAATGGAGATTTACCTTGGATCCCTGAAATTTAAATCAGATCGTTAACGTCTCACCGATAGATTTACAAAAATCAAAGTTTAATATTTAGACGACAGAGAGAGAGAGAGAGAGAGAGAGAGAGAGAGAGAGAGAGAGAGAGAGACTCTGCCGATAAAATTCAATATGAACGGAATTAAAAATTTCAAGATTGAACGAACCAGCTCCTAAGCTATTCCCGATAATCATTCGTTCAGTTCAATATTCTTCAACTTGTCTCGATAAACGAGTACAATGAATTGTATTATACTTCGTAAAATTTACGTTTGAGTTTCTTTACGATAGTAATAGTCGCTAGAAAGAAAGAAAGAAAAACGCGCAGAACTCGCAACAGGAGAGGGGGGGGATTGAAACGAATAATTTCCAACGAAAGGAAGGAATTACTCCCGAATCTGTTCTTTACTCGATCGCATGTTCTAATTGTCTACACGTGCGGGACACGAGCGCTACACGATTTTTCCACCGTCGAATTTGCATTTTATATTTCACGAAAACGTAAACCCACCCCGTAAATCGTGTCTCCCCCACGACCCCTCATTTTCCTTCTCTTTTTTTTTCTCCACTGTCTTTCTCGTTCGTTTTTCTCTCTTTGTCGCTCGAGCCGCTGGTTTCTATCGACTCTCTTTCTCTCTCTCTCTCTCTCTCTCTCTCTCTCTCTTGTACACCAGAGCGTTCGCGTAATTCCTTGAAAATTATTCTGCGGAACAACAATAGAATTTTACATGCAAGTAAAAAGAGGCAACTGAATACGTATTAATTCGTACCACGGTATTGTTGGGTTGCGAAAGCCCCTCCCCCCACCGGTCCCCCTGCCGCGCGTTTCGTTTTCGTTGCGAATTATTTATTCCTTAACCCTTTAAACAGGGGCTATAGCAGTGAAAGAGGGAGGAAGAAAGAAAGAAAGAGTTGCCGCGAATTCTCTCTCTCTCATTTCTTTCGCTTTTTCTTCTCTCTCTCTCTCTCTCTTTCCCCCTCCGTTTGTTTGCTCTTTCTTTTTCTGTTTCCGTTTTTTTTTGTCTTTTTTTTTTTTTTTTTTTTTTTTTTTTTTTTTTTGTTTGCGAAAACAAACGGTCGCCAGCTATGGGTCGCATTATCGTTAGAGGCGGCCGTGTATTATCGAAAACGTTGCCCTGACAATCTCCCCTCGGTGTATCAAATCGTCCGATTTTTCACAAACGCGGCCCCGAAACAATTCAACCAATTGCAAACGTCGAATTTGATTGCCGGTTACAGAAAGAACGTCGGATATTGCGCTTTTCCCTGGAAATAATTGCTCAGTTAAAGCGTTAATCGTTTCATACATCAAACAATTTTCCGTCAAAAGGAACCTCGGGATATATCCTGGCCAGGCTCTTTGAAAATTGTCATTGCAACATTGATCACTCCACACGCGCGCAAATCGTTTTTAATCATAACGAGCATCAAATATCCTATTATTCTCGGGACTCGGAGCGGCGACGGGGGGAGGAGGTGGAGGAGGAGGAGGAGGGGGGAAAAAATACCCATTTTGTTCCGGTTATAACGAGAAATGAAAAGCGTATACCAAAAATATTTCGTCCTGCGGTGCACGCATGCGTTCCTGGACAATTAATTATTTCGTACCGAAGGATATGGAAATTCGTTTCTTCTCGCGTGATCGTTAATATCGTGCACCGATACGTTACGATTATGTTGTAACTTTATGGACGGCCATGGATATTTATACATGGGTGTTTCGTAACTTGTGGGACCCACGTCGGGAGCTGATTGTATACGCCTAAAAATAATGAAAAAAGTCATATAAATATATGTCCTGTCTGTCTTCGTTTATGAGATATAATGAATTTTCTGTTTTAATTACTTTTTTACAAAAGAAGCTCGAAATGACCAGCTTGCATTTGAAGACAAGCCTGCACGCGTCTTGTCATTCATCTGGTTACTATCTCTGTCATTCCTGGTGTTTCTCGAATTTGTCGGAAGCCTTGCTCTATTCTATTTCGTAGTATTTCAGCATGTTCAATCGATGTTGCNTTTCCCATCAAGAAAAAAAGGTCCAATTAAAAATTTATCAATTATTCCTGCCCATACGTTTAAACTAAACTGGTGTTGATATCTTGAATGCGTAATAACATGTGGGTTTTCTTCATTCCCAATTATGATTGTTATGAAAATTGAATATACCATCTCTGGTAAAACTAGCTCACTAGAGTTTGCTCTGTTTATAAAATTTATTATATCTCACAAACAAAGACAGATAGGACTTATATTTACATGACTTTTTTTTCATTACTTTTAGGCGTACAATCAGCTCCCGAAGTGGGTCCCACAAGTTACGAAACACCCTGTATAATACACAACTTGCTACGATTAGTGTATCTTGCATTAGGTAGGTGGAACGCCGAATGATAGCAACGGCGAACGAGACAAGAGTAGACGGATATTAGTGAATCGATAAGTTAAATATTCTTTTGTAATTTTATGTCGAGTAAGATGATCAGATAA